TGGCAGACATGAAACGCCATAGGATAGTAAGGGGGAAATGTGGGGTGCTGCCTGACTGTTTCCTGACAGTTTCCTCAGTTGCCCCACAAATTCCCCTGCTTATGGACCTCCATAAAAGTACTATGAAAATTCCCTGCATCTGAAATCTACAGAAGATTGGCTTGGCTTTATCTCTCTCTTTTTTTTTTTTTGGATCAACCAAGCCTTGTAGTCACCCATGTTCTCAGGGCAGTGCCAAGACACAGCCAGGACGGAGCCAGGACAGAGTCCCGCCAGAAGTAGCCCTGCATTATGTGATGGACTTGGGCAGGCTATGTCCAAGCTGCATCTCGGCAGTGTCCTAGGAAGCCCCATCTGATGAGGTCTAGAGAAGCACTCTGTGTTTGAAGCTGGAATTCTGGAATCTAAAACTACTTAGAGTCATAGGTCTAAAGCAGGGCTATGAGGTGTTTTGCTCTCCTGCAATTTTTGACCGCAGTGCCTACAATCTTTAGCCATTGGCCATTCTGTCTGAGGCTACAGTTGAAGTCTCCTAGCTCTGATTTTAACGTGCTAGAACCATAAACCACATATATCTCTCGGAATGGATGGAAAACTGACAGTGTAAATCATAGTCTCAAATACTCATGAGCATATATCATTAGTGCAAGGCTAATGAATTCCTACTCTGCATTAGACAGATCTCCCACAGTCTTTCTATAGCATACAAGACCCCTGGCTGTCAATTATCTCAGCTGTCAGCTGCAGAACCGGCCTCCAATCGAGAGAGGTTTGCACTTAGTTTTGGAAACCACAAGGGTCTTTTATCCTTTCATTTCCTGGCAGTGAACTCCTTTGCCTGCCTGAGCATCTGAAGCTGTTTTGGAAATTTAGAGGAGATTCAAAGGAATTAAAAAAAATGTGAGCGGCACATTACTAGTGGGAATTGCCCTTCCCTTTATCTTGCACAGCTATACATTTCTGTGTGTCAAAGGGCTGAGATCATGGGGTGCAAGACTGCAACCACAGGACTGAACAAAAGTCTAATTTAGGAGGTTGAAGATTAGGAAAAAGTTTTTACAGTATATACTCACATATAAGTTGAAACATATTTGACAAAAAGAATTTGAGTCAAAACCTGGGTTGACTATGGATCAATTCTGCATAGAGGCAGCGAAAGAGGCAGAGGTGAGATGCACTCTCACTCCATTTCTCCCCCATTGTCCAAACTGGAGAAAGAAAGGCAGCCTTCTGTTCTTTCTCATCTTTCGTATCAGCCTGAGCAGCATTCTGCAGCAATGTGGGGGCACTCAAAGAATGTGGTGTAAAAACCAAGCCTAGACGCCGCCATACCTAGGAATTATCGCCCAGTTTCAAACCTTCCGTTTTTAGGCAAGGTGATTGAATGGACAGTGGCGGGGCAGCTACAGCAATTCTTAGATGAGACTGCGGGTTTGGACCCCTTTCAATCAGACTTTCGTTCAGGTCATGGGACAGAGACTGTCTTGGTAGCTATTACTGATGAAATTTGTCGTCAATTAGACCGAGGCGGATCAGCGCTATTGGTACTCTTGGACCTCACAGCTGCATTCGACACTGTGGACCATGACTTGCTGATTCATCGATTGGCTATGTCTGGTGTACGAGGTTTAGCCGTGAAATGGTTCAGTTCGTTCCTCTGGGGCCGGAGACAGAGGGTGGAGTGGTTAGGCCAAAGCTCAGAGCTCCTGCCTTTGCTGTGGAGTTCCCCAGGGTGCTATCCTCTCATCCCTGTTATTTAACATCTACGTCCGGCCACTTGCTGGACTGGTGCAGAGCTTTGGCATAGAGTGCTACCAGTATGCAGATGATACCCAGCTACTCTTGCGTCTCGAACCTGGGACAACCGCGATTCCTGAGAACTTTAGGCTGTGTTTGGAAGCAGTGATGAGTTGGCTGCAAGCGAGCAGACTAAAAGTAAATCCTGCAAAAACTGAGATACTCTGGTCCGGCCAGCCACCAGAATCAATCCAGTCTCTGCCTGATTTCGATGGGGAAGTTCTGGTTCCGTCTTCCACTGTTAAAAACCTTGGGGTTGTGTTGGACTCATAGCTGATGATGGAGGCCCAGATCACTGCCATAAGCAGACCTTTTTTCATCTT